CATATAAATTTTCTCTGTGTTCGATTTAATGTTTATAATCAAATAAACTTGTATAAAGTGCCATTTAATGATTGATGATGATACTATAAGATATTGTAGGTGCGTCATATTGTGATTTATTTAAATAGTATTAAAAATATATTAAAATTGGCCGTCAATCACAATATAAGATAATTAAAAGATTAAAATATCATTTTTTCGTTCCTTATCGAGTACTCGATTTACATATGGAACATTTACGACATGTTTCGGCTATCATAGAGCCGTCATCAGGTGTTATGTTATAAACTTTTTAACTGAATTACTGATTTTTAATGCTTTTTAGTTTTCATTCTTATCATTTCCTCGTCCTTCATATTGTATCTTCATCCGTTGTTGTGTCACATGTCACTAATATAATTGCATGTCGTAGTGATGCCAATGTTGTGTATATTGGACTGAGAAGTAATATCGCAGCAGTATTAGGAGAGATTGGAGGTATACTGTATCGGATCGTGGCTGGTTACCGACGAGAAAATGATAAGAAAAATGAAAACTAAAAAGCATTAAAAATCAGTAATTCAGTTAAAAAGTTTATAACATAACACCTGATGACGGCTCTATGATAGCCGAAACATGTCGTAAATGTTCCATATGTAAATCGAGTACTCGATAAGGAACGAAAAAATGATATTTTAATCTTTTAATTATCTTATATTGTGATTGACGGCCAATTTTAATATATTTTTAATACTATTTATGATACTATAGTTCTGGGGTTTATTTCAGAATGAGATAGAGAACATAATTGGTATTCTTTTCAGCGGCACTTTCGTCAATTGAGGGAAGAGCTTGGCAAGCTGAAGACTCCGGAAGGTCTCGATGACCTTGCAGACCCAGCATTTCAGCTCGCTTCTTCTCCACCCGCATCCGCTGTTCAGAGTGCTCTGGACTCAAAAGACACGTCACCAGTTGTCGGTAGCTCTAGTCAAGGGTTTGCACCTTTAGGTCCTGCGGGTGGACTTACCAACAGTCAGAAACATTCTGCAGAAGAGAATGTCCATCATGACATTGACACTGATATAGAGATGGAGAAAATGGTATCTAAAGTATGTGAGTGAAGAGAAAAGTTACTATGCTTGCTACATTTTAGGTGTCTGTTCATCACCCCGAGAACTCCATATGCTACTGAAGCTTGTTAAGAGTGACAAGATGACATCAGAGTTAGTCATCGTTAACACTACTTCTATAAATGACCTTGACTCTTAGAACGTGAATATTTACAAGTTGAGGAAGAACGAGGCCAAATTAATGACTGAGGAATCTTATGCATCATTTGGGGCTTACATAACAACCCACAAATCTGATTATGAACTTGTAGCATCATTGGGCTTATGTTTTCCAGGTTTTTGTTTGGAATTGAAGAACATTTACATTGTATCAGAGATGTCACGTATTAATAATGTGGCAGTAAAAATTCTTGTTGCTAATACATTTCTGAATCTAATTATTTATTATGTATTATTAATTGTTCCCCAGAGACATTAGTTGGCAGCATTGAATTTTAATTTCTGAAGTGTATGACAACCAACATTGTGCATTGTTCCAAAGAAGCATTGATTTTCCTGCATGTTGAGTTTTCTTTAAATGATGGCAGGAATTAGAAGTGACACTAGAACCACTGATTTAACAGAATTATTCATTAAATATTTTGTACTGTGATTCTTTTCCTACAAGTCAATTCATTATGAATTACAAAGAATAATTTACAGTTTTACTTTGCATTAGTTAACAGAATATAACAGTAATTCTTCTTATAAGCAATATTTTGATTCTGATATAATGGTATTATATCCTTGAACTAAACAGGTCAACCGTAAAAGCAAAATAAGTGTAAGTACTGACACTGAAGGTAATATGTGTATAATTTCATATTATGAACACCTTGTTTATACCCATTTCTCTCTTACAAGCTTGGAGCTGAGTACTACTTTTGTACAGGATTTTTTATGAGCTGCATTCTTGAGTTCTGTATGTAACTTAGAAACTGCATGACGTATATGGACATTTTGTTCAGTTACATGTTACTTAGTATGTTTAAGAACGAAGGCTCCAGTGTAGTTATAATCATTTCTATATCTTTAACTTCAGAATTAACAATCCAGTCTTGCTGATACTAAGAAATAATGACAGTTGTTCAGTGACTGCGCCACCTATTTTGGACATGCCATAATTTTATAATGTGCATAGTTCTTATCTAAGAGTGATGATAACCTACTTCGCATGTGATATACGGGTCACCAGTTACAGAATGTGTGATACCTTTTGCCAATGTGAGGTTGTGGAATATTATCTGTTGTTAGAGAAGACACTTGGTTTGATAGTGTCTTGTGTGTTTACACGTTGACATAGTGGCTAAAATTGTGAATATTGTGTAAAATGTGTCTTTAGAAGAATTTAGTGTGTTTGTGTGATGATCAGAGTGTTTTTGAGAGTGACTGGGAAAGAAAGCGCCTGTTATGGAGAGGGACATGTGGTTATCATTAAGTAAATATGGAATAATTAGTTGTGTGAGAGCGCATTGCATAAAGGAATAAACAAAAATATTTTAATTGTTTACAAACTTGTGACCAGAGTCAGGGGATTTTAGCAAGTATTTATTTCTACAACTAATGCAGAACATTTTCCTTTTGAAAATTCTGATCGTTTTTTTAAAGATTCTAAAAGGGTTTATACTGTATACTGTTTTATAAATATAAGCAGTTTTGAAGATGGATGCAAGTTAAGTTGCAGAGAGTATGTAGTCCCATTGAACTCTGGGATTTAATAACACACAAGAAAAAATACATAACAAAATACTTTGTATTTCCGATGTTTAACCTATTTAAGTCCAGCTTATGCTTTCACCCAAGTCCCTTTGAAGCTCTTTTCTTATGTGAATAAATGAAACAAGGTGGAAGGACAAGTAATATACAGTATAATAGCATCAGGATTTTTAAAAAAATATGTTACGTGAGAAAAATATTATGATTGTAATTTGGAATCAATAATAGATGGTAAAATTTCCTGGCTCTCAGTACATCTTCAAGAGTTCCACCTTCCCAAGTGTGGCATAAAATGTGCAGTTTTAGATATCCTTTATGTCCTATATTAGCATATGTTATATTATTATTTTATATATTACATTGGCCTGTCATTTTCCTTATATGCGTTATTTATGAGTCCTTTCCTCGTAATATTTATCTCACCAGATATTTTCCTATTCCTTTCAGTATATGATATTTGGAAAAGAAACGTTTAATTTGAATAGGTATAAATGCTTGCTAAATTACAGGACATAGTCAGTTTCCCCAGGAGTACATGAAACTGGTCTCTCACACCTAATGTCAGTGATGATTGTGTGGTGCTCACTAATTAGTAAGTACAGTATTAAAGATTGGTGTTCCTTCCCGTCCTACTGAAACATTCAGCATGTGATCTTTGTGCATCTGTAGTACAGACCTGTCCATCCAGTCTGTGGCAGGCAACAAATACCAAATTTATGTTCTGTTTCTGAAAGCACTTCAGGTGTTATACACTTCAGTTACAATACAGCAGTTAACAAAACCACTTCCATCCCAGCTTTTTTTTTTTTTTTGTGTTTGTTAGTTAATTTATCCGTGATATTAATATTCTGTGTAAGATTTGAGATTTTCACAGCGGTGAGTATGAAGATTTCTGTCTTCTGGGTTGTTGCGCTGTGTACCAGTCTACACAGCGCAACAATCCAGAAGACAGAAATCTTCATATTAATATTCTCTTTATAGTCAATATTCCATTGCCTTATACCAGTGCAGCTTATGAGACTTGTTTTATGAAATTTTTACATTCATTACTTTTATCTGTTATCTGTAATTTTCCTAGAATTAAATGGTAATTCAAGTACAGAGTGTTTTATATAGTTAACACTGACATAGAGCAATACTTCTTTCAGTTCTCGAGTCTGTGTTGAATATCTCTGGTTACAGTAATGCCATCTTTCACAGATTTTGCCTAGTTAATAAGGTAATGGAGTAAATATCTGAGGTAGGAGCATCAATGAGGCAGGTTCCATTACTATAGGAAGCTGTCAAGAATGAGGGCTCAGAACCATGGAGGTTTGGATCTGTGCATACAAAAGTCCACACACACACATCAGAAAATGGACAATGTGGGATCCTTTGAACAAAAGAAGAAGTGTACTACACAGAACACAAGGGGTAAGAATCAGTAAAGCTAGAATATATATATGCCAAATTTAAAAGTTTACATTGTTAATATTCTCTATCACACTATATTGTTATTAAAATAAAGTGTAATTCATATTTACTTTATAAATAAATCTAAGACATGAGCACACACCACAATGGCTAAAAAACACTAGGACAAGATCAGATTAGATTCTATACATAAGTATTATAAAATTAGGTGTTTTCAATAACCTTGAACATCACTTTTACACAACATCCAGAACACTTGTTGCTAACCTGTTAATATTAAAAGTACAGGAGAAATGCTAATGATTGTCATGGATAATGTTGCTTCTCCACCTACCTAATACAACTCGTTGAGAGAATTGTTTAATCATGGTGCAACATTTTCCTGAAAGTGCATATATTAATAAAAAGCCCATATAAAAATAGAATACAAATTAATAACATATACCTCTACCTGCTGATAAAGGTATATTACAAATAATATTAACAGATTTCTGACCTTTGTCCCTTATCTAGTGTTCCATAGAGAATAACATTTTAGAAACTATATGTTCTGTCCTCGTCCCGTAACGTAGCCGCGCGGTCTGAGGCATCATGCTTCGGACCGGCGATACGGAATGCGTGCTGGTTCGAGTCTTGGGGGAGAAGAAATTTTCTCATGAGCTTTCGATCAGTGTATGGGACTGGTGCCAACCCAGCATCATGAGGAAATTGGGGAGCTACAATGAGTAGCGTAATCCGGTAATGAAAACTAGCAATGGCTGGGGGTTCGTGCTGACCACAGGTCACCCTATAACTGGTTGGATGATCGTTCACCTCTGCTTAGGCATGTGAACGTGAGGCCATCAGTCAAGCTAGTCGGCTTTGGCTCTGGAGCTATTATGCCACGGATGTTCTGTCCTCAGTTGAAAAGATGCTAGTACCTACTCTCTTAGGTACATTAGAAAGAGCTAACTTCAACTGCTGGAGTTACTGAGGTTGGCTCCTAACAGACCCAACTGAGTAGGTATCTTCCACATTTTCACCTGAGTCAGAAACCAGATCCAGTTTCTTAAACATTGTTCTTTTTTGGAATACTAGTACAGAAATCCAGCAATACTAATACCAACTACTGCTTGCAGTGGTACAGGTAGGTTCATGAACCCTATATCATTTCAAGATCAACACAATTATACAAAATTGTTTAATTTGTTACTTATAATTGTATGTGCTTTACAGTACCGGTTTTCAAATTCAGAGTCATTTCTGCATAGCTGAGCTACTGGTTGCAAACAGATATGTTCAACAGACTTCACCAAGTAACATGAAAACTTTACGGATCTTAAAATCAAAATTTAACTTCCATAGTAATGTATAAAGTGAAGCTTCATGGCGACCGAAGTTGGTGAAAGACTCTCGGGGTAACAAGCCGCGTCAGGTGGTTGAGTGGCCATTCAGTTACCTGACGTGGCTTGTTACCTGAGAGTCTTTCATCAATGTCCATAACATTTTAAGGCCTCAAATAACACATTATTCAAGTTTACAGTGGTGATAGTCAAGACTGGATTGGTAAATTACACTGCTGTACAGTGTACGAGGAAATGCAGTGTACAGTTTGTTTTTTTACTCCTTATATCGTTAATGCTTTTAAGCCATAATTTGGTGTCACTAATTTGTGAAAGGTAGAAGAAAGTAAGAAGGGCAAAGTCACAGGCAACTCTGCAACTATTAGGTAGGTTTGGGGCACAGTCACATTACCCTGGATCCAAGTGAAATGAAGTAATTTCAAGAACTGTGGAACACAGTGGTAAGAATAAATCCCCTACATATTATAAGGATATTACAAGAATAATATTATTATAGATGGTGTTTAATTTACAAAGACATGCTGCTGAACTGAGATTCAGTATCTGTGCAAGCATCAGTGACAGTTTTTGACATGCAGTACATAACCTGCAAAACAAATTAAAATGGAATATGGTAAAAGTTATGGTATCTAAATATGTAATACAACTGCAATAAAACTATACATTTGTGCTTTATTATCCACACACACTAATTTTTTCTGGAGTGACATGACATATTTTAATAATCACAACCTCTCAAGAAAACAAAAATAATTTTCACTCCTATTTCTACACCTGCTTCCACATGAATAATGCACCCAGTCAACTGTGGTAAAAATATGATTGAATAATCCTTCCACATCATCTTGATCACCATAATGAATCATAAACTCAATACTATGCCGAGTCCAATGAAACTTTTAAATTAAGATATATGATATAAAGCCTTTGTACACAAAGCAAGTTAAAACTGCACAACAAGCAGTGACTTCTGACACATCAATCAAATATAACTAATGAATCTAATGAGTACATTCACATTTCATTCTGAAGTACACCAAATTCCTGATTATTTGGGCTAATGAATAGGAAAAGATGCATAAATAATCAAAAAACACAGATAATCTGAAATATTTTGTTAAGTACATTATAAGATGTCATACAATACCTTATATTCTTTTTACAAAACTGGTTTATTTTGAGAAAAAATGACATTACAGCTGCCAGGAAAATATGTACTGCTGTGAGGAGGAGCATTAAACAGTTCACAAAAAGAAGTGACCATTACACACCATATTTGAACTCTCTCTGATCTATCTAGTCTAATACTATCAACTGCAGGACCATATCACAGACAATGTATGTACCATGCTATGACTGATGCACTCTACCATCTTTCTTCACTTCTCATCCTCTTCTTCTCACTTTCATTTAACAGCAGCATTGACAGTGTCTTCCACATCTTTAATAAGCTACAAACCCAGTTCACACACAAAACCCTTTAGCCATTCTCTGTTATTTTTGTCAATTTCAGAACTTCTCATAACATACATCATGTCAAGAATTTCAGACTTGTTGATTTCTTCTTTAGGTACACCTTGCAAATCATCATCCTCTAGATCTGGAAGAACTTTCCTCCACGATCAGATCAACGTTACTGGATTCATGGAAGACAATATCCAAAATATGCCATGTATAGCATTCAACAAAATCATTTCTTTCCACAATGGAATTATGCTGGCATCTTCATTGGCAAGAGAGGTCAGTCCAATAGTGTTTCAGGGATGCAGTCACTCCTTGATCCATGGTCTGTATAACAGCTATGATATCAGGAGGCAAAAACTTTACAACAATGTGCCATTGTTGAAAGTCAGTGCACACTCTCTAGCATCAACCATGTTTACTATGGTAATCCATTCTCTTTGAGGAAAGCCCAAACTTCTGGAACAAAGTTCTTGTGGAACCAATTTTCATAAATTTCCCTATCCACACTCCTTTCCAGTTGTAATAATGAGCAGGAATGCAGTTTGCTTTAGTACCCTAAAAAATGTGTGGTTTTTCAGCTTTAAAAATCACTACAAGTTTCAGATTGTGATTTATGGATGCATTTCTACAACACATGGCCATAAGGTGTTCTTTAGATGCATCATGACACCTGGAACAAACCTCCTCTTCTTGCCCCAACACCAATACTGAACATAAATCACTGAGAAAAGGTACAGTTTGACCATATCTTCCGCAGGCCCACCCAAAACCAACACCTTCCCCCCTTATGAAGTAAACAGTACATCACAGAAAAACTTTGAAAACCTATTTCACGCCTATCTGCATTTAACAATAAAAACTGTGCACAAATAATCAGGAAATTACCTAAGTACAAGTTCTCTCAGAATAAAAAAAAAACTGCAAATGACCATGATTCTTAAGTATGGAATCCTGCCTACTGACTAGAAAATGGTGGTAAACAGAATTGGGCATTCTAATAGCAAGAGTACATGCAGTCAGAAGTAAAAAGACTTATTTTCAATATGTAAACAGCTTAAAATTACATGCAAATAGCAGCATAGAAGATAGAACCAGCTTTAATGAAACTGTGCAAATCCATCCATCCAATGGCACTACACCGTGAGTCAGGCCTTGGCCCCCTCCCATGTGGGAGGTTTCCTAGTCCGAAGTGTGCATCTGTGAATAGTGAGTGACAAGCCCACTGCCTCTGCACAATTTCTACTCAATCCTGATCTGTCTGCTAGAGCCATCTAGTAGAGAATCAGGAGAGGCTTGGGTGAGATATGGTCGCTGAATTTTGCTTACAAAACATCTCATTCATGCTCGTAGGGTTCTTTTACATCCCGTGAATCTACGACATGGGAATGCTAGCTTTACTTCCCCTCCAAAGGAAGTTGTGTTATGGATCTTTCACCCTTAAGAATCCATCACCTCAGCCAGGTATGAGCCCGCAAACCTTGGGTCCAGTGGTGAGCACACTAACCACTAGTCCACCGAGGGCAACAGTTAATGTCTTTTTAAAATCATGGAAGAGACCTGACTATTAGACAACAAATATAAAACAAATGTCTTATGAAGGAAGTTAAAAACAATTACAAATGCAAAGCATTACATATAATTGACACAGTGCCGACAGTTTCATAGTGACCAATATTTGTATTACCCAGTATCGTATTAGTAAGATGTTCCTGCAGTTCATGACGCTACGCATCAAGACATAAGCAGCTATTTGCTGCTCCTGAAAATATCACTTAACCCTCAAAGTATCCATGAATTATACCAAATAATACATTTGACAAGAAGCCATTAAATTTCTGAATTTATTGGAGAAAACCTGATGTTTAGTCCCACTTGTTTATTTCCTACGCCTGTTTAAACCAAATTTCAATAGAGATACAAGGTATTGAAGCTCGGTAAAATTGTACTGAACATGTACGTGGTTCTTTCAGGAAGACAGTGGTTCACGGACCATGTTTCTAGTTTAACTTTTTTATAGTCAGTTTCTTCCAAAAGTAAATATCTGAAGCTGAACAAAGCAGATTAATTTCCCAAAGTGTCAAGACCAAAGAACCAAAGCAAGCGGCACGCATAAATCAAATAAAGATACGATGATGATGATACTCCTTTAGCTGTTTCCCTGGATTAAAACAAAATAAAATAGGAAGGTAAGTTTTATAAGCCTTTAATATACATTCGTCGGACTGTGTTCTCCACACATACAAGTGCGGAGGACTGGCTGCCAACATGGCAGTGACTCGTTCGTTGGCTGCCTTCAAACATCAGGAGTGGTGAATCCTGTAATCAATTAAGAGAAACATAATGTGAATCAGAGGATGACGACAGAGACGGTTCTCATAACATTGGTGTTTTCACCTTTCAACCACCAGACACAGCTGGTAGACTGAGAAGAAACATTACGAATCATCATATTCTGTCAGTTCCCACCCTGAACGTACACATGGTTAAGTCTACAGTATTTCTTAGCGTCTTTATAGTCAATACAAAATTCAGCACATACACATTCATGTATACATACAAAACAGGTGGAACACAATAACCACTTATCAGAGAAAGAACCAAGACACAAATCCAAGAATAATAATAATTCTCCTAATCGAGTAAGTTCATTCAGTGAAAGGCATGTCAGGTGTTCAACCTGTCTTCAGCTGGTACCAAGACTGGTTAAGTACTTCATTCTATCTTACCCACTTTACATATAACTTTGTGCAATTAAAAATTTGAACTATGGCCTCATTAAAAAATTCAAGTTAATTTTCTCATTTTTTTATTGTTAAGTTCTAGAATTTTTTTTATTACAATAAATAATTTAAAAATGCCCTGGTATGCATTTTTTGTACTTTCTTCCTGCAATTAAATGCAAAGTACTTCTAAATCAAATAGCACTCCTTACAGCTTTCAATAGCGTCTATAAATTACTTCAGATTAAGAAACTGTTAACACATGCAAGAAAAATCATAAAAGGATTTACTTACAAGCATGTTCTCAGCCTTCTTTTTTTCTTTTTAAGAATTGTAAGTTGTTTAACAATATCAAAATTACTTCACAAAATGCTTCTGCTAACAATATCTTAATACTGTTGTAGAGACAACCCAGCAAATCTTACAGAAGTGTACAGAAACTTCTGTTTGGTAAGGAAATTTCTTCATTTTGAATTTCTCTAATATAATTGTCATACTCTTCATCCATTCTCTCTGCAGCTCGCATCTGTTCTTGATGAGCCGGAATCTCAATGGCTTCTGCACAAGATCGTGAACATGCCCAGTGTTGGAATGGCACACACGTGTTTCCCAAGTATGGGTTCTTAAAAGTGAACACTCTGTAACCTGACATAAAGGAAAAAAAATAATGGTAACTAACAACGTGAATCACGCTTTCTAAACTACGGCTATGTGCTACATATAAACCTTGTGTAAGATTACAGTAATATTTAGTTCGGATGTAATTACTAAACCCACAGCAACCAGGCACAAATAAAAAACCTCGATTAGATAGAACAATAATTTAAGTACATTATTCATACCCATAATACAGTCTGCTATTTTGCTCAATTAAACAGTAAAATCCTTCCTTGTCCCTCAACTGACACAGTAATAAATGATGAAATATTCAAACACTGTTCAGCGCGCCAAACTATTTCACGTCTAATATGAACCACTACCCTATTCACGTACGGAATAATAAACAAAAATAAAACAGTATTAATACATGAAAAAAGCTTAAAATCTATATTAAATTAATTCATCATACAATTATAAAATTAAATAATCTGTACTATATATTCAAAATACATTCACAACACTACAATGTATTGGAATCTTATGAATATCTATTAATACATACAGACACAGACGAAGAAATTCCATGAACACAGGGAGGCAGAGTTAACATATGCAACTGATACAGCATCATAGTAAACAATATCAATTAATTATAGAGACTCACATATATCTCTATGAATTCTTTTTCTTCTACTTATGTTTTCACATGGTGAGGTCTCCTTACAATGCTTTTAAAAATTATGTTAATGTTCAAGGTCAAAACCAAACACATAACATAAATTTTCAATTAAAAGTAAATGTTAGTATTTCTGAGTAGTTTTCACCACCGTAGCCGCGCGGTCTGAGGCATCATGCTTCGGACCGGCGATACGGATAGCGCGCTGGTTCGAGTCTCGGGGGAGAAGAAATTTTCTCATGAGCTTTCGACCAGTGTGTGGGACCGGTGCCAACCCAGCATCGTGAGGAAATTGGGGAGCTACAATGAGTAGCGTAATCCGGTCATGAAAACTTGCAATGGCTGGGGGTTCGTCGTGCTGACCACACATCACCCTATATCTGGTTGGATGATCGTTCACCTCTGCTTAGGCATGTGAACGTGAGGCCAGCAGTCAAGCTAGTCGGCTTTGGCTCTCTGGAGCTGTTACGCCACAGATTTAATTTAATTTAACATAAATTTTCAATTAAAAGTAAATGTTAGTATTTCTGAGTAATTTTCACCAGTTAGCAGCCATCAAAAGTGTTCATGCTCCTTGGTAGAAAGTTCTAAACATCAACTTAAATTCCAAGCTAAAAAAAAGCTCAACACATTGTCCCCTGTATGACGTAACAATGAGTTAATTCCAAAAACAAACTCAAATTCCAGCTCAATGTTGTCCTCTCTATTCTAAGCCTGAATACATAAATGACAATTTACCCGATGAACTGTATGGTACAGCTGTATGGCAATTGTCACATATACTGAACTTTGGATACATATCAGCCACGTATTCCTGAAGCGTGTTTGGAAGCAATCCTGGCTCAAAAAAATTAATATTTGACGATACTAGAGCTGTAGCTGAAAGGAACAGCAAGCTATCTGGATTATAACTGCTGGTCGGTTTCCTCCTTTTCTGAACCTCGTCAAGCACATGTAGAACTCTGGTGGATGAAAGATACCGAACATGAGAACATAACCAATACTTTTGAACATGTAAATTGTACACACTAATAAGAAGAGTAAAAACTAACGTAATCTAAGCTAAGCATAGCATGATCATCAATAATCTGGATCCTATTTCTGGGTGATGAAGTCATTCCATGCAGAATCATCATAGCCCACAACCTGACATCAGATTTCAATGAAAGATGGTGGGCTTATAGACTCCACAGAAAAAGGTATTCTTGTAAAATTTCAGCAATCACATTTTCTGTGGTGCAGGGGTGCATACATAAAAAATTACATTTGTTGGAATGATGCTCCACTAATAATGATCATAACTTTTTGTTCTGTACAAGCCACAAAGCTCATATGGGACTTATTTATTATTATGATCAGATTTATAACTTGTGTTGGGCAAGGCCGTGGTCTAGGCAACACGGAGTTTTCCCCCGGGGGCTTCCCCGGTTTCTCCGTGGCATCCCAACAATTACTCCATTCACACACAGAAGAAGGCAATGGCAAACCACTTCTGGATCATCTGCCAAGAACGTATATGAACAGATCCCAGTCCGAGAAAAGGATGGAAGGATCCTGTTCATATCGACCTGTCGTCAGACAGAACACTAAAAAAAATAAATTACTCCATTCACACACAGAAGAAGGCAATGGCAAACCACTTCTGGATCATCTGCCAAGAATGTATATATGTATGAACGGGTCCCTGACAGCCTGAAGAGGATGGAATGATCCTGTTCATAATATATGGACCTGTCGTAAGACAGAACACTAATAATAATAATAAATGAAATGCTCTTTCTAGAATCTTAAAACTATGCATACCGTGGGGTGTATTAGAATATAAAATAAGCAAACAAATAAACTATAAACACTATAAAAAAGATACAAGTGCCATAGTCATTTGATTAAATGAATTCATTTCCCTGTTGCCACTGATGATGACGTCTTGAGGTTGAAACGCATATGACACAAGTCTTTTTTATAGTGTTAATAGTTTGTTTCTTTGCTTATTTTATGCTCTTTTTAGAGATATATAATTCACATTCAGATACAGTAGATTAGGTTTCAATGTTGCCTGACATAACCTGTGACCTTCAGTTTCTCACAAAATGTAATCTCTTCTGCAAAAAATATATTTGCTTCATAAAGGAAAGAAGATGAAGTTTCAGGAGTTAAAACGAGAAGCTGAGAATAGGGAAAACTGGAGAGCTCTTTTTTGGGCAGAGCAATGGACCTGTCATCAGACAGAACACTGAATAATAATAATGTTATAGTCTAACAGACAGCAAAATGTCAGATCATTTGTAATAAAATCAAGAATGTGCACAAACTATGAAACGCATAATTCTGGAACATTATTTACCACGTCTGTAACACAGCAAGCAGTACAATGCAAAAAGTATTGACAACAGACATGGTGGTAATACTGTAAATTAATCCTTAATTACAAATATGATAATTAGTCATTTCTCTTACGCTTTAACTTCTCAGTTGTTAATGATGTTCTGGTTGATGTTAAAACTATGTAAGTTACATACATTTTAAAAGATAATTTCATTTGCTTTTAAATAAGCCCCATATGAGCTTGGTAATTTGTATGGAACAAAAGTCATAATTTCTAGTGAAAGTGAATGCCAAAAAAATACACTTTTATGATTTGTTCACCCCTACACCACTAAAAATAAAGAGTGCTGAAATTTTGTTAGAATACTAATTTCTTTTGAGCTTACAAGCTCACCAATGGTCATTAAAATCAAAGTTCAGGTTTAAAATGGCACTTTTGTGTGATGATTTGCAATGGTATGATTGGATGGTACTATGTATATGTAGACTGCGCTGCCTATGTTTCACACTTCTTTAGGTTTCAAACGTTAAAGCTAAATGACTGCTCAGTGGCACAAACAGAACATTTATCAAGGACGTGTACCATAAAAATCAGACTGGATAGTTGCTGCACCTTAAAAATGGAAAGTCTCCAAAATGTCAGCAATACAATCTATATCTACATGGTGACACTACCCAGAAATTGGGTCCATGCTGATTTGTCATCAAAGTCTGAAACCATCACATCATCATCATCAGTATAACAACAATAACACTTATACATGTCAAGATATTAAATAACTTAATAATAGCAGTACATACCTATCATTAACATCTGTGTGATACCACATGAATGTAGCTTTGAAGTAATTGTGATTTCCATGTCGATGCACTGTACACAGCTGTGGCATGTCCAACAAAAATCCTGGAAGGGCATCTAGCAAGTTGTTATCCAAATATAATTCTTTTAAGTGATGGCAGAAGGTAAGAGTGTGTGGGACTGATTTGTTTTGTAGACGGTTATTAGTTAGGGACAATCTTTCCAAGCAACAAAGACGGCCAACATCAGGTGGAATCCACTCCAAGTTGTTGAAATTCAGAGATAAGACTCGCACATTTCTACACCTAAATAACTGTCAATTAAACAATACAAGCACAATAAACAATTACAGTCAGAAGTACAGTATTTTATAAAGAACTCTATGTAAGATTAAAGGTCTCCATTACATACTTCTTTTGGAAGTGTGGCAGTTTCTCCATATTTAAAAATGCTATCCAAATGCATTTCTACGAAATTGTAGTGTGACAGATACCTGGCCAGTACAGTTTGACCAGGAATTTGCACGTCTTCTGACTCTTGACGGAGTTCCGAGTTTAGAAAAGCCAAAAGCCGATGGGGAGACTTTTCAAGTGTCACTGCTAGAAACCACAAATCGGCGGAAATCTTCTGTAAAAAGTGGGAGATTATAAATCAATCTATAGTCAAAACACTGAGATAATTAACATTTTGTAACAATGTGTGTGTGTACCTTATATCTAGACACATCGGTATCATTTTCTACGCAATCACTACCATCAACTTTAGTTTTCAATACTCGGTCCTGAAATGCGCCTAAAAATGTTTTCAGATTAACCCAAGTTTCTGCTTTCAATTCATTCCATAACAACGAATCCTCCTGAAACTTCCTCATCAACAGAAATTCGTAACAATGAAAGACTTCCATTCTGAAACGAAAGCTCAAAACCAAAAACTGACACCATATCAATTACACTATGAAATAAACCGTTATGAATACATAAACTTCTACAAATAAAGCCATTTTGGTTTCAGTTGTGACTTATCGAAATTAAAAATATCGACAGCCATGATATAGCGCGGTATAGGATCATATTTTCAACGTCAGGACGATCGCATGAATCCAACGAATCTAAGCCAGGGGTTTATCAACCTCTTCAATACCTGTGTCACACATACTCTTTATTAGCCTTTCGTGGAACGCTAAATTGTCTTTGAGGATAATTTGTTGAAATCGCGTGTAATTTTATTAAAATGCTTCCTTATGCATATAGGCCCATTTATTACTCCATTATTTTTAACCGAGTTAATCATTAGTGAGCTATTTGACACTGCTCTTGCTTGCTTTATTCTTTTCGTGTTTCATTTGTGTTAATTATATTTGGATGAAATCGACCAAGCGTTCATCAGTACGATGCCTCCTAGTTTTTGCTTCAGAGTACACTTTATTATTATTTAGTATTCTGTCTGACGACACGTCCATTGTTCTGCCCAAAAAGAGTTCGCCAGTAGAACAGAATTTATTTACGTTCCATAGATCCTTCATAGACCCAAGCCTAGGATGTAGAACATGGATTAGAACAAATACAAAAGTTGTTTCTAATACAAATATAAATGACATAGCTGTCACAGTAATTTGCAGTTAACTACAGCATTACCGCAAAAATAATTATACAGGGAAGCATACCCACTATTGCTTACATGTTTATAATGGCTGAGAAATTTGGTAGAAGTAAATTCTTCAATGGGGTAGAAGGAATGAGACAGATATTCGATGACATTCCTTAATGTGAACAATTTCTAGCGGCTATACTTACTACAAAATATAAACGATACTAAACTTGTGTTTTCTGATTATTTGAGGGGGGTATTTTGAGTATAAATCAGTGAGACAAAACATTATGTTTTTTTTTTGGTTTGAAGTCGGGAAAGTCTGTAACTTAAATTCACAATCTACGTTCTGATACAATCACTATATTTCTCTAAATTATGTGCCCTAATTCAATTTTCCACAGTTAGTTATGGAAAATTAAAACATTTTTTAGCTCTCAGTTTGCATTCCCATTGTAGCAGATTCGTCTGAAAAACTCTTTCGTAGAAATGAATAGAACATAAATGAGCTGGTCTTTGCGATGTAAATAACAGTTATTAAGTTTGTTCAGATGCTACACTTTGGATTCCGAAATTCGTGCCCGGACGGCTCCTCTGATCTCTGAATCAATGAACTATTAAACTTCTTTCCTCTAGGAAAATATGCACTTAAGAATTTTGCTACGACTCATCCACATCAAAACAGCAAAGCCAATTTAAACACATCTTTTAACAATGTCAGCATAAACCACAATTGATTCAGTAATATTCGTTCTGTTCTGTCCTATTCTGTTCTATTCCTACAACAATGTTTATTTGCACGTGGTTTAGTAAATAAACGTGTTCTTCAGCGTACGCATTTCAGAAACATTCAGCTAACATACATGCAAGTACCTGTACATATATGTTCTATTTAGTCTCCTCCTTTGTGTAGTATAATTTTTATAGGTAACTGTTTTCATGTGTTCGTGTCACTTGCCGAAAAGTTCGGTTTCTGTGTTTAATTCCTTCTACGTTTTAGTGTTATCATTGTAAATACAATCTGTTTTGACCGCTTTGTCGTATGGATTTTTTACTGATGGGTTTGTATGCTGTTGCATAAATGGGTAGTGTTGTCATTAGGTTCGATTCTTATTTCAGTAATAGTAGTGGGTTGAGTAGGTCGTCTTGTTACTGTGTATGAGGCAATGCGGATTCACTATGCGCTCTTTGGTTTGTATAGTTCTCCTTACTTGTTACCTCTGACTAACGGAGTAAGTAGCTGTTAGTTTACTTTATCTGTGGTGAGCTTGTCGTTATAAAATGGAGCGGTGGGAACCTGTTGTTCACCTATTTAAAATGGCGTCGGATGATGAAGGCGATATAGCTCTACAAGAATCTGGTAAATATATACACCATTCTATATTTCTTATGTTGTAAGTGTATATGATTTCGTGGGCTAGTTGTAGCTTATATATAATGAAGTAATTTGTATAATATTTGTCGCCAGCTATGAACCTTCCTTTTAATGAAAATGTCGCCATTTCTTATTGAGGCGTCTTTAGTGTGTGGGTGATGTGCGGCACATATGCGAATATGTGTTGAAATTATGTATGGTGATTATTTTATTATTCTATCGATCGGTATAAAGCATTGTATTTGTGTTGTGAGGTGGGGGGTTGACTTTGTTCCTAATGGCGAGTAAACTTAATTGTGGTTAATTGTAGTGAGGCATTGGGGTATGTGTATCGTGATACATTTTTAATTCTGATGGTGCGTTATAGGTAGTGCATGCTATTACGTCTTTACTTTCTCTGAGAAACTTGTGCATGTTATGTATTCCCACTTCCAGAGAGTAAACTGTATTTTTTTTTCAGTTCATGCATGCACATACTGGGAAAACAGTAGTGTTATAGTGTGATGCCTTTAACACATTTTCATATTTATTACTCACTCTTCACTTTTGTTTGATGATTTGCATCCTGAGTTTTATATAATAAATATAATCAGAGATTTGGCTGATATATAAAGTCTTGCATTCAAACAAAACTGTTTACACTTTGAAAAGACACTTGGTGCCAAACGTGTTTCAACCTCAAGAGGTCATCATCACAGATGATATAAACAGTTTTGTTTGTATGCATTATTTTATATATCAATACACTGGACGGTATGCAAGGTTTTAAGATTAGGCTGATGGTTACCATTCGTAGTTAGGATGATCTTAATAGTGATCTGCAAACTGTGATAGCCGCTGTTTATCTAGTGTTAAATATCTTTCAATATCTGCTTTCAGTAAATAATTTCATTAATGAGTGACATTGTCTTATACCATTTGTTTTTTGAGTCTGTTGTATTATTTGAGATCTAAGGTTGACTCAGTGGTGAAGATGTCAAATATGATTCAGTGTTGTTATATACCAAACATCGTAGTTGACTAGTTAATACTCCTTTATATTCGGTAGGTTCCAGGTTCAAGTGTTGGGCTGGAGACTGGGTATTATACGTGAGGTTTCTGATGGTTTTCCATAGTTTGTACTAGCACATCTCAGGATAGCATTAGGCTGCAAATGCTTCCTTCCATATCCTTTCTAATTTATTATTCCAACATTTGATGCTGTATAGTCTGAACTGCTGATAGGAGTATTAAATAAGCTACAGATATGTGTATAGTCATGTAGGTGGTTACAGTAATTTCCGAGGAAGATACTGCCACCATCTTCATGTTTAAAGTGAGTCAGTTTTTTTTTTGATTTGATTGTTTTTGTATGTATGTGATTACTCAGTTTGTATGCTTTCATAACAGCAAATGAGGTAAAAAAAATATCTTTTTGCTTAGTGAATGACATTTTTATGTTTTGTAAAGGCAAATTTTTTTCTGAATTAAAGTATTCCTTTTTCCCCCCTAATACTTAATACTTACTAATAATTTTTCCCCCCTGTAGATCAAAAATACATTGATATAGGATGTCAGTCTATATTATACGTTATCGGAATACAATAATGATTATGATATAATCCCACATTAGATTATCAGTAGCCAATATTCGAAAATTCTTTATTAAGATAGTCTTCTAGTGAATAGTAGCACCCCTTAATAAGAAAGTCCTTCAATTCCTTCTTAAACTGGTTGTTATTTTTTATTTGTTTTATTGTGGTAGGCAGTTTATTATAGAAGACACAACCTGCTACTGACGGCTTACTGTTATAAAGTTCTAACTTGTGTACATATTTATGATAGTTATTATTATTTCTTGTGTTATATGTATATACTTGTTTGTTTACAGTGCAGACACTTTTCTTTTGTGTATAAAATGGTTTCTTGAATGTATAATGAGTACACTATTAATATCTTTAAATGCCTAAAACTATCTCTGCATGATTCCATTGGTTTTAAACCTGCTGTGTACCTTACTGCCCTTTTTTTAAGATTAAAAATTTGCCGAGTGAGTACTTTGGCACTCTGTCCCCATACGACGATTCCGTAAGACAAAAACGGACAAATCAAACCATAATACAACATTCTTGTTTCATTTATATTAAGTATTTTAGAGAGTCTATTAATTATAATTAGGTTACCGCTAATTCTACTATACATTCTTTCAATATGTACTTCCCAACTCAAGGTGCAATCTATCACAACCCCCAGGAAGTTAGTACCTTGTACTTTAACTATTTCCCTGTTCTTTATTAAAATTTGTAAATTACTTTCCTGCCTACATTGTTTTGTCCAGAAAAGAATGTAATGTGTTTTAGTTGGGTTTATAGATAAATTATTTATTTCAAAATACTGCTTTACTAAGCCTGTATTGTCTAAGGTTACTTTTTGGAGTACATTTATATCTTGACCTGTATTAAATATTGATGTGTCATCAGCATACGTTATTATTTTGCCTTGTGTTAGATGTGGAATATCATTTACATATAAAATAAAATGTAATGGACCAAGGACAGAACCTTAAGGAACTCCATATCTAACTGAGTAACATCAACAACCACACCCAAATTCTCACATGTGGTCTCCATGTTGTAAATTTGTTCCTTGCGTACTGTAAACTTGGGTTACCTTGACCCAGATAAACATTTTTTTGTTTAGAGAACTTCATGTTACAACAAAAAAACTTCATTACTAACACTTAGTAAAGGCAAAGTAGGAACTGTTTTTTCTGCCTCTAAATTAAATTGATTAACAGATTTCAAATGCAGTTGGCCCTTCTTGGGGCAAAGATTTTATTTATGGTGGCTGTAAGATGTTTTGGAGGAGTATACAGCAGTACTCCAAAGAACACATGATTTAGTGTTGTGGCCCATTTTTATTTGGATGGATGTGTGATCAGGCAGAATGTGTGCGCGTGCGTGCTTGCTCACAACAGCGAACACCTGCATAATATTATTACACCCTGAAAAATGCGTCCTTTGTTAATTGTTGGTTCAATTTTTTCCATCATTACTGTCCATTTTGATATCTCCATGTTCTCCAAGGAATGGGCATCGGCTTTGGAGAAACATTTTTTCAACAGGACAGCTCAGGCACACACCACAAACACAGTGTTGGCTATTGTTAATGAGAATTATCGTGATGAGTGTTGTATATTCATTTTTCTGAACGATTTAGATATGGGTCGTCCTGACCACCTTACTGTCCAGATCTTAATCTATGTGATTATTATGAAGATTTCTGGAAGGCACAGTTTATAATCTGCTTACAGTTGAGCTGTAAAAAGAAATTTTGGCAGCAGTGATCGGCATCAGTGGAAAAAACTAGTTGCCTTTGTGCGAAATTTCTGTTATCAGCTGTAGATGATCTTTGAATCTGATGGTGCACATTTTGAAACTTTTTACATGATTGTCAATCTCCTGTACCTTAGGAATATAAAAAAGAACTGTTTCTGTGTATTGACTTTGAACTTACATTTGAACCTGATGATGACTGTATTGGATTGAGATTTGTAGTTCAACAAAAACAAGCTTATGTGTAAATGTGGCTGAGAATAACCATCAACAATCAACATAACACAGTGGAATGCTACATTATAGAATTTATGAAATGAATGCAAGAAAGCAGGGGGCTGGGATACTTACTTAGGCGACCGGTTCTTCAGTGCCTTGAGCATCTGCAGGTCCCAACTTTCGTTGGCTTTGATCTATTAGACATTCGGTAGGACTCCTTGGACAAGGGATCGGCCCGTCGCAAGGCCTGTACCTGTACACAGGACAGCACAACACAGAAAGACGTGGACAAACATCCATGCCTTGAGTGGGATTCGAACCCACGGTCCCAGTGACCAAGTGGCACAAGGCCCACGCCTCAGACTGCATTGTGTGAGGGAGTAGAATGGAGATTCCTTCTAAGCAGTGCTACTATGTTGGTATGGTCTGTATTTGTGGAGTATTACCTAACCTGAGCTGTATTTTAGTGTACTGTTACAGAATGATGTGGAATGTGGTGTATTTTCCATTTTAGAAGAAAGGGTAAGGGTTAGTACGCTTCTGTCTGTTAGGGTGTTTTATTAGTTTTTGGTAGATAATTTAAAAAATTGGGTTTGCAGTTATCTATATCAAATTCATTCATATATTTTTTGTTTACTGGTGAGGAATATGTAGTATTTTTCAAGGCTGTTAAGAAATTTTCCTTCTCTGGTTTTCCTTGTTATCGTCATGGTGTTCTCTTATTTCCATATGTGTACACTGTGTGTAGTATGTGTCGGGAGTATCCTGTGTCTGGTTAGTTAGTTCATATTGCATGAACATGCGCCTTATATCTAGTCTTAATACAAGTTTCAACTGTTGGGCCACTGTACTTCTTCGGGCTTCTAAACAACTTAATTCATAGATGCAGCTGTTATGTGTGTTTATTTGCATCTTTGAATAATTTTGTATTAGTTTTTATTTCATTCTTTACATATGTATGAGCTGGGATAGCTCAGACAGTATAGTGACTAGCTACGGGCTGGGTGCCCGGGGTTCGATCCCCGACGGGGGCAGAGGATTTTTCCTCTAGCCCCTGCGTCCAGACCGGCTCTGGGGCCCACCCAGCCTCCTCTACAATGGGTACCGGGGTCCTTTCCCGGGGGTAAAGCCGGCCCCTATCTAGTGCCGAGGTCAAGGAAGAGAGGAGCTATACCTCCACTCACCCCAAACGCCTACATGGCGTACAGTGGGACAAACCTTACTTTACATATATAAATATAACGCTTCTTTTGTTGCAGTCTTTGTTTTCTTGAGGGTTCTTTGTTTCTTGTATTGGTTGTTTTGGAGGATTCTTTGTATATAACAATTCTATCTTTTGCATGTTTTGATAGTGGATGTGTGTGTAATCTATATTAGGTAATTAATATTAGCTAATATGTGCTTGTTTGGATGACATGAAATATTGTGAGTAAGGGTATCTGTTGATATGTGTTTCCTTTATATTCTGGTGTTTAATTTATTGTTTTGAGAAGTTTGTTGTCTGATTTATTTTCTGTTATAAGTTTAACGAGGTGAAGGGTATGTTTCTCCAAAATGATGTCCACTTATAAGACAGCATGGCATTACAACCTACATTTGTAAAACTAGCAGTAGTTTAGGTGATCAAAAATCTTGAACCTGGAGTTTAATTTTCATGTTCACAAGATTTTGCCACCAGGCGTTATCATGTACCAGTTGAATCTAGTCCATAATCTTAAACCCCGTGTCTTTAAGATTCATTTTGCTATCCTCTCATTCATACCTGAGTTACAAAATGTGACTTTTCCTTTTGATTTTTCCGCTAAAACGTATGCATTTTTCACCTCCACCACACACCATCCTTCTCATCTTTGCCTTGAAGCTCCTCAGACATTCTGAATCTATTGATGTGTGAGACCATAGATTATGTCCGTCTAAAAACAAAGTAAAACCTATGCTTGTAATAAGGTATGCTGTAAGAGTTGATCGTTGCCCTTGGTGGACTAGTGGTTAGATTGCCCACTGTCATTTATTTTGTGTAACTGTTCACATAGTAAAGAATGGTTTTGATAATTTTAAGGGATGCGTCCTGTTGCATGTTGATCGTTAGGTTAATTCTGTCTACACAACTATTTGTTAAGATCCACTATGTGTTTTGACCTTGATTGGTCATTTTGGGTTTGTGTTCATGGTGGCGACATGGAGAAAATCAGTACTATATTTGCAAACATTTTCAGGTTCTGTACGTGTTATGAAATGTTGTATCTTCATACAGGAAATACATTGTTATGTTGAGAACCTGAAGAGCATCTTACTTTTTAGGTGTTCGCCGCACGAGGGCAACACGAGCTGTTGCTACAAGGAGGAATCGTGGTCGAAAGAAGACTACAGCTCCACCAGCGCGATCAACCAGATCAAAGAGAAGTACACGTACGTCACAGTCTGTTGGTACAGATGAGGAGGGTGATGAATCGCAGGTGGTGAGTGGTTTATATTTTCCATATTCTGCTATATTGTGGGATATGATACATGAGATTAAAATGGGCCAAAACTTTTTGAGATATTCAAATTTATTGTTGATGGCTGATTTCTGGGTTGTTGTGCCATGTAGTCTGGTAGAAGTTTACACGTTTCATGTTTACTCATTGGTGATAAATCGCCTCTGAACATCGGTAAACTTTTACCAGATTACGTCTAGGTCTCTCCAGAGTTCTCTTCCCCTCAGGCTTCCCAAATAGTGGACCCAACCAACCAGATGGCTTACGGAACCCGAAGGTTCATCACCGAATCAACCAAAGCCCTCCACAGGACCCTGTCCTGGGCCAACAAAATCCAGTCTCCTTCAACTCCTATCTCCCATAGATCCCGCCTGAGATTATCCTCCCATCTACGTCTAGGTCTCCCCAGCGGTCTCTTCCCTTCAGGTTTCCCAACCAGTACCCGGTGCACACCTCTTGTCCCATCCATGCGCGCTACATGTCCCGCTCATCTCACTCTTTGTCCATTACCAACACAATATATATAATTTGGTATGTACTATTAGGATGTGTGTGTCTGCTTTAATGTCATTTTAATTGACTGCTTAATTACATTTCTTTCAGCACATTTTGCCGGTTTTTCGAGTCAGAACCGGGAACAGCGGTGTTCACTTTTTGTGACTAATATATAATTATTAATGAATGTATTAACACTTTTATTTTGTTAAACTTTCTTAATGGATCACTAGGTTAAAATGATAAGTTTAAAGGAAAACTGTAACATGGCAAATGGGAAAGATATGGAGATACAAGTACTTCTGGTATTAAATTACAAAAGAATGGATATTACAACTATCTCTTAGTTGAATTTATGCATATTTCTGATTACAGTCCTTCTATTGCTCAGTGTGCTGTTACCAAACTTTAGGACGCAGCGCTGTGGTTTCCACAAAATTGCGACAAAATTTTCATTGCAGTAGGTCCCTCTTGTTTATCCAAAGGTCTTCTAATGATATTTAAACTGCGTTGTACCTTGTGCTGCACCCCAGTGCTTCTCTTTCAGCCACTCCGTAACCTGTTCCTGCTACCAACGTATCTGCCAGATGAGTAAAAGAGTAAAAGTTATCTCTTTCTCCTTTGGAAGTTATTTTTGCTAGTTTTATTGAAGGGGGCGCTTTAAGGATTAGTAATTTCCACTGCATGGGACTAACTCTGTAGAAAGGTTCTCTGATTTCGCCTACTTGAGAGAATGATTTGTATTTTATGATTGTAGGAAGTGAGTCAGAACGTGTCGGATGCAGAGGCAATGCAGGACCGTGCCAATGAAGAACGTTCACCACAGGCACCTACAGATGATTGTGAATATGGTGGTGATGGAGAACAAGCACTATCCATATTAAATGCAATTGCAGAAGAGAGCAGTACAATAGAAAATGGGGTAGGAGGTGGAATTTACAGTACAGATGGTGGGCGAAATGTAGAAAATGAGGACAGCGATGTAGAAGAGACCATTACTCCTCAAGCTGCTGATAGCGAGGAAACCGAAGGTGACATTAATGACGTGAAACTGAAAGAAGAGCAGCAGGGAACTGCTACTTCCCTTCACAGTGGCGAAGGTGATGATGACGACGATAGAGAAAGTGTCGGTGGGAACGTTGAACTTCCAGAGAACGACAATGAAGGTACATCTAAACATACTTAATATTTCTGTATTATAAAGTTGCTGGTGCCATGGTTATCAAGTTGAGCTGCAGTTCCATAAATTGATTCTTGTCTGAGCTATTGAATATTAGAAGTTTGTTTTGCTGCAGCTTTTGATTGTGGAGGAAAATGTCTGCAGATCTAGAAGATGATGGTGCACAAAGTTTTCTTAATGAAAAAGTCTGAAATTTTTGATATGGTTTGTGCTATGAGAGGTTTTTAAAATGTTGAAAGTAATGTTGAAGAATGGCTGTGAGGTGATGCATGTGAACTGGGCTTCTAGCACATGACTAACACAGGAATTGCGAACGCTGCCGCTAAAAAAGGAGGTTGGGGAGATTGTGAGGAGAAAACATTGAATATCATTTACAGTGTGTTGACACATGGGTTAGAGAGGGTTTTGTATAGAATGACAGCTGCAAGGAAGAGGATTGAACGTTTCACAGAAACAAGTGACGATTACAGACTTTCTGAAAATGAATATCTGTTGTGTAAAAAATATACGTTGTGAATGCACCAAAGCGTTTCACATCATCCATGTTTGTTTTTTCTTCTAATATCTGTGCATCTTCTCCCTTTCATTAGCTGGGCAATTGGTAGTTTACTGTATTAAAAGTCGACTGCGATTCTTTCACGTGATTGATGTGTACAGTCATCTCTGCTGTTATGTGATAGTTGCATTCATGTAAAATGCGTATTAAAAATATCCCTGGTACCTCCGCAGAGATTAAAATAGTCCTTTGAAAGTTTAAAGCGCCAGGAATGAAATTGCATAAGAGCAAACTCGCATATGCAAAAGTTTGAATTTCACAAACAGCTTTTACCGATTCATCGATCTCATTGGAGCAAATTTGCGTTAACGAAACATACGTAATTGCAGAGATGACTGTATTTATAATCTTTATTCAAAGTCAGCGATGTAAGAATTATGATTTAGTATAAGAATCAGTACGAGATACATTGAAAAAGGTTATAGATAATAGTAAAAATATTTTTTTTTCACTTTTTGACTTGCTGGTTTCAAAATTGGCCTTATTCTGAATCGGCGCAAATGGAGGGCTGCCTGTATTTCAATATATTTTGAATATATTAAGCTGATATCATAAGCCTGTATATGTGTATATATAATATAATTGTAAATGATTCTTTTCAGTGCCACAGATAAAAATAAAACGTGAGAGAGAAGATCCTGGCCTGGAAGAGGAAGTCAGTGGACAGAGTATAGATGAGAAGGAAGTACCTGAATTGGAGGATTCTCCTCCTCCAAGCGTTAATGTTGTTCTGCCTTCTCCTATACGTTCAGGATTCAAAATCAAGTCTGAGGTTTCAAGTGTTGACAGCTTGGAAGAGAGTCAGGGTTTTTCTCAAGAAGCTCTTGAAGAAATTGATGTTAAGCACTATACAGCTGTTGAAGAGACAGACACGGATCATGACTTCGGTGATGCCAGTGTAAATGGAACTAAATATAACATCATTATTGTAAAGAATGAAGAGGAGCCGATGGAAGTTGAGACAGATGAGTTACCTGCAGTTCCGGAAGCCCCTTCACAAGAGGAATTGTATGTAACTGATATAAAATATAATGTAGAAGAAATGACTATTATTGATGAAGTGACAGATGATGGAGGTCAGGAAGAGAGGACTGAAACAGCTGGTGTAAATGAAATTGGAGAGCAGATTGGTGTAGGAGAATCTGGAGATGGGGTAAGCAAGGAATTATGCAATTACATCTTAACACGCTTTTATTCTCCGAGGTCTTTGGATAAGGAAATACGAACTTTGCTTGCTTCAGTAATATCTTTGCATAATGGACACTGATATAACGGCATTTCAGAATATCAAAACTTATTTAGAACGTGTTGGCTGTTACTGAACAGACCCAGTACTGGCAACACACGTGATGTTTCTAAATTAAAAAAATACTGATGATTCTTTTAATTCGCTTAAATGTGTTCTAGGTGTCGGAAACATTCTTACCTCAGCATGCACTGTTTTCTGGTTGTCAGTTGAGTGAACTGAAGACCAGAAATGTTAAGATAATAGTTCTTGCCAGAAAGACAGCTCATTATAAAAACCTTTCAACTTTCTTGCGTCTTCTAGTATGCGGTATGGCAGAGTAAAGCAGTAGTGCTGATATGATGTCAGTTTTTAATTGTGTGGATGCAAATCTTTAAAACACAGATCGTAGTGATACTGTGATTGGTGATAAGAATTTAATTGCAAGTGTGGCATATCAGACAGTGAACAAAATGGTTCCATTGTCTGTGGGTGGCGTGATGAGAAATGGCAAATGAAAATCTGGCTCATGGGAGTCCGCCAAGTGGCAAGTTGTCCATACCAGATACCATCTAAATACGCTGTGTGCTTGTGCAGAGAACAAGTTATAACCATCAATTGAGAGCAAGCTGTACCGCATATTGGGCTTGATGGATTGCCAATAAAGGATAGTTTACATAATCATGTTAATGTTAACTAACTAACTAGATGGCTTACCGAACCCGAAGGTTCATCACCGAATTAACCAAAGCCCTCCTCCAGACCCTGTCCTGGGCCAACAAAATCCAGTCTCCTTCAACTCCTATCTCCCATAGATCCCGCCTGAGATTATCCTCCCATCTACGTCTAGGTCTTCCCAGCGGTCTCTTCCCCTCAGGCTTCCCGACTAATACCTGGTGCACACCTCTTGTACCATCCATGCGCGCTACATGCCCAGCTCATCTCATTCTTCTCGACTTAATCACCCTGACAATATTGGGGGAGGAATACAAATTTTTAATCTCTTCATTATGCATTTTCCTCCATACCTCATCGTCTTCTCTCCTATGCCCAAATATCCTCATTACCCTATTCTGAAACACCTGAAAATTATGTTCCTCACTGAGGGTGAGCGGCCATGTTTCGCACCCATACAAAACAACAGGCAAAGTTATTGTTTCGTATGTTTTAATATCTAGGTTCTTTGATATCAGATGGAACGACAAAATATTTTGAACTGAAAAGTAGCTAGCATTTCCAGAATTTAGTCTCCTGATTTTGTTGTGAATATCATTTTGATTTGCTATTGTTCACAAATATTTGAACATTGTCACACTTTCAAAGAATTTATTAGCAATTCTAATATGATTTTTCCTATCTGTCTGCTGACTGGATACTAACAGGTACTCATTATTTTGAAAACCCATTTAATTTATTGTAGAAGTTATGGTAAAGAAAAGATGTGAAACTATTTATGTGCATCATTTTGTTTGTTATCTCATTCTAAGTTGTAACATACAAAGTCATTTCTGAAATAGCGAAGGAATTACAGGGATCAGAATGTAATTCCTGATAGGCACATTGGGCTTTTACGTTTCATTGCCATATCCAGGATGGCTCTGGACTCCCTTAGCCTCGTATTAAACAAGTGCCAGAGGAGAATCTTTGCCCAGCCGTAAAGATAACCACAGCTTGAAACCGAACACTTTATTTTGTGTATATGTGAAGAATGCATGCCTTTGTATTCTTGAAGATAAGGTTCTAACATGGATGTTATCTTAGCCCCCCTTTTATAATTAATAATGGTTGGGTTACATTACTATTTTGGCTTATATTTAGGAGGATTTCCGGACAGAGCCTGACACTGAAATGGTATCAGAGGATGAACTTCCAACAGAAAGTTCAAAGGGACCCTTAGAAACAGAAGCAGTGTCTGATGAAGAACTTCCAGATCACACAGCAGCTGTAGATTTGCCAGAGACTGAGGCTGTTTCAGAAGATGAACTTCCGCCAGAGAAAACGGACAAGAAGAAGAAAAAGGCTGGAGCAAAGAAGGCTGCTGTGTCAGGTACATACAAAACTAAACGTTGTAGCTAGCAATTGTTACCCGTTAACACAAGTGTAACGCTTTTAAGAGAATGTGTTGTCACATTTTTAGTGGAGCTCTAGCGTACTAAACTGTTCCTTTTCATGTTTTTATGGCTATCATAATTCTATGCATGTAAAGATGTTTCTATCGTTCCTTTTCTCGTTGTAAATACAACATGATGCGTAAATATCTTGATGGTTTCTGGTATTCATACCATCTACTATAAAAATTTGTGATTTCGTCGTCATCAATAAATTATGTCAACCAACCAACCAAAAAGCTAACTAAGGGCGGAGGCCTGCGCGAGCGCAGGCATCGTCCCTTGCTAGGTGACACCATTCCGGCGTATGAAACGCATTGATGGAAATGGTACACGGTCTTGAACTAAAAACGGAAATTATGCTAACGCTAACGGGGTTTCGTCGTGGCGGGTAAACACATATAACGCTTCACAACAAAAAAATAAAAAAAAATCAAGCCAGTCGCATTATCACTATAACTAACAAATAAAGAAAAGCGAAGGGAGATTTACATTGATAAACACAGAAAAACTTATTCAACAAGAACAGAAGAGCAGAAGGAAATGAACGAAGACTTGCAAGGGTGGGGTTGGACGTAGATAGTTGGCCAACCAAGAACTGATGGCCTCTGATCAGCGACGTAAAGAAATAAAATATCAGATTACAGGAAGCGCTCCGAAAGGATTAGTCGTCGTCGTCGTCAAAAAATGACGTCATGAACAATATCACCTTATATTTGTTTGTACACGGCATTGTTGTGAAACAACAATGAAGTGTATACAACAATGCCGAGTAAACAAATAACGCTTAGTTCCAAGCCAGTCGCATTATCACTGCTCTACAAGCAGCACAACGTCACTGAACAGTGACATAGACCATTTAAGAAATGAAGAAAAGTGAAAGAAGACGTTACCAACACCAAAAAGGTAATCTGATACTAATAATAATACTCATCCAAGTCATACTGCTCTTCAAGGGTTAAAACACTTGAATAAGACACCCCGAAGGGGGTTAGTTTAGTGTCTTACTCAAGATTTTAAAACGCAACCAACCCCCCGAAGGGGAGTTAGTCAAGTGTTTTAACCCCCCCCATTCGGGGGTGAGAGTTAGTTTCGTTCCTTACTCAACACTTGAATGAGACATAAACTAACCCTTCCGAAGGGGGGTTAGTTTAGT